ACTTAGTTTCAACTAGGGAATCAACAGAAGCAAAAGCAATTTTTCCCTTTTTGACACCCGCCTCCCCATTGGCTCCCCCCGGGTCAGCTGACTTTGTCATTTTGTCTGTCCTGGAGCAGAGCCTTCCCTATAACAATCTAGTTCAGACTACAAACTGGAGACAGAAATAAATATTAAAGAAATCACACAGCCAGGTATAGAGGACGATATGAATTCCTATTTCACAAACCCATCTTTATCCTGCCATCTAACCAGTGGCCAAGAGGTGCTTCCCAACGTAGCCCTCAATTCAACTGCCTATGACCCTGTCAGGCATTTTTCTACTTATGGAGCAGCCGTTGCTCAAAACCGGATTTATTCTTCTCCTTTTTATTCACCGCAAGATAATGTTGTGTTTAGCTCCAGCCGAGGACCTTATGACTATGGATCTAATGCTTTTTACCAAGAAAAAGACATGCTTTCTAGCTGCAGGCAAAATTCTATGGGACATAATACACAGACATCAATCGCACAGGATTTTACCAGTGACCAAAACAGGAACACTTCGCAAGAACAAAAAACTAGCATTCAAATATACCCATGGATGCAGCGTATGAACTCCCACAGTGGTAAGTTTTACAGCTCGGAGATATAAATTAAATAAACTGAACCATCTTTACGACCTTCTCCCTAGCAGAACAGGCTGAGCGACTTTTTATGGCCCCATAAAAACAATAATATAGCTCCTTCACAGTTGCAGCTACAGGCCTTTTATTTGTTAAGTTGTTGCAAGCAAATATGGCTTGTTATGCTCTTTCTAATTAAAAGACTTCGAGAGTGTAAAATATCCATAATAAAGTGCAGCGAGCTCTGCTCGGGAGTTAAGCACAAAATATTACTGGGGGAAATAAGTTTTAATGACGGGGGTGGAAAGTGCGGTTGTGCTGCGAGCAGGACGAGGGGGGCATCGCCCTCCCCTCTGCCCTCAAATTGGGTGGGGAAGGGAGGAAAATGGGGGGGTGGGGGAGAAGAGAGGGGAAGGGGAGAAAGGGGGGATGAGAGGGGAAAGGGAGGGGGGGAGGAGAGAGGAAAGGGGGGGAAAATGGAGGAATAAAGAGGGGAAGGAGAAGGAGGCGAAAGAGGGGATGGGGGAAGAGGAAAAGAAGAGGAGAAAGAGGGGGAAATGGCAAAATTGGAGACGGGGGGAGACGGAGGAAAGCAGAGGGGAGGGAGAAACAGAGAGAGGAGAAAGAGAAAAATGGAGAGGGGAAAAGAGAGATGGGAGGGAAAAATAGGGAGTATGGGGGGAAATAAAGGGGTAGAAGAGAAGAATCAAGAGAGAAAAGGGAAAAGAAGGAGGGAAAGAAAGAGGGAGGGAGGGAAAGAGAGAGAGGAAAGAGAAAAAATGGGAAATGGTGGAAAAATGAAGAGGGGGAATGGGGAAAACAGGGG